ATGCTATAGAAAACTAATAATCTTTAGGCTCTACTCGCCGTCTCTGCGAAACGGGCTCGGGAACCAAGTTATCATAATATGAAATGATTAAGTTAGGAATGAGCTACATTAACCCAGTAAAGATGTCACACTATCTCACTGTCACAGAAGTAAATGTTGGTAGAAAATAAAAACGACCAATTGAGCATAATTTATAACAAATTCATTTATCAATAATAAAACCCTTTATTTTCCACTTACCTCGGTGAGATTCATGAAAACAACTTATGAAAACAATAACATTATAAATATCATAAGATCATGCTGCATCAGGACACAACCTAGGCTTAGATAGGAGGCATCACTATAAACTGTATATCCCCCCGATCTACTCGGTAAAGCTAGTACGGGTGCAGTGGTCTGCTGTTCCTTTAATTCTGAAAAACTTCTCTCACAGTTCTCATTCCACTCAAACTTGGCATTCTTCTTTGTGAGTCGGCTTAGGGGAGCCGCTAGACTAGAGAATCCTTCGACGAACCTGCGGTAATAACTTGCCATTCCTAGGAAGCTACAGATTTCCTTAACTGATGTCAACTTCTCCCAGCCAAGTACCACTTCAACCTTTTCGGGATTCACTGATGCTCCTTCCTTCGATATGATGTGTCCTAGGAAGGCGGTCTGCTCAAGCCAGAATCCACACTTACTCAACTTTGCATATAGCTTCTTTCTTCTAAGGACCTGTAAAATTTGGGCTAGATGGTGAGCATGCTCTTCTCTGCTTTTTGAGTAGACCAAGATGTCATCGATAAACACAATAACAAATTGATCCAAGAATTCTCTGAAGACCCTGTTCATTAGATTCATAAAGATGGTCGGGGCATTGGTTAGCCCAAATGGCATGATCAGGAACTCATAGTGTCTGTACCTGGTTCGAAAGGTCGTTTTGGGGATGTCTTCTGTTCTTATTTTCACCTGATGGTAACGTGATCGCAAGTCTATTTTGGAGAAGACCTGCGCACCTGCAGCTGATCGAAGAGGACGTCAATTTTGGGAAGGGGATATTTGTTCTTGATTGTGACCTTGTTCAATCCTCTGTAATCAATACACAGTCTCAACATTCCATCTCCCTTTCTGGCAAAAGTGACTCTGGCACCCCAAGGAGACACATTGTGTCTAATAAAACCACTATCTTGCAATTCAGTAATATGTTTTCTCAACTCTTCCATCTCAACGTGGCTCATGCGGTAATGAGCAACCGAAATGGGCTGGGTGCTTGGTTGTAGGTCTATAGTGAACTCAACTTT